GTCACCACCAAAAACACTTCTTATAAATAAAATACTTCTTTTAATACATACGAGATGACTTCCACATTTAGTATTTGAAATGAAGATGAAAATATGAAAGGAAACTTAGTAACGGCCATATGTTTGATATGTATGTATTCTGATGAGACCAAATCAGAGGAACATCTTCAAATATTCATCGATGCGAGTGTAGTTCACGTCCGGGTAGAGTTTAGAAGCTTCTTTGTCGTCTCCGACTTCATGATTTGTGAGACAACCTTCGTAGAATATGTTGTAAAAGTGTCCTAATCCCGATTGGTGTGGTATTTCCTTATCTACATTAATATATACACACATATAAATTAGAACATTTTCACATTAATTTAAAGAAAGTAAATGCTTCGCCTGAATTCATATTTTTAAATTGATCCAATGATCTATTTAATGGGGTGTGTATTGTTTGGTCATTACTATGATTGAGAGACTTACCTTCAATATCGGCAAGAAAGTCTTTTGCAGCAACATTCGTTTTCTCCAATTCGTTTCCGGTTAGTTTCTCCCACATCTGAACTAGTTCCATTTGAGTGAGAATGTTGTCGGTAGGTCTAATATACACAGTTTTGTTCACCGTTCGGGGATCGTTAAGTGTCTTTACGGTATATTTTGCGACGTCATCTTCATTTGCGAATACCACTATCATAACAGAATGGGAAAAACAATATATTTTATAAGAATGTGAGTAACTAATGCACAATTATGAAATCTAAGAGATCCAAATGAAAAAAAAAATGACCTTTGACACTTCCATCTCCATAAATATCGACTTTTTTCTTTGGAGGGATCAAAGTTCCCATTTGAGATAAGTTTCCGACGAAGAATGCAGCAAAACAAGCTCCGACTAGGTACGTGTAGGGGATTCCCGCAGCCTCAATTGCATTTCGTACTTCCATTTTTTGATCGAATGTTTCTCTTCCTTGCGGAAGCGTATTCTCCATACGAGGCGGATCCATTCCAAATTCTGATGGTAAAAATCGCTGAAATTTTATCTAAACTTATTAAATACTTTACAAATAGTTCATTGAAAATATTTTAAAAAGTTATGTTAAGCACAAGAGACATAATCTGACACAATCAACACTTTGTTTAAGCATGTATTTGCGTCTGATTAATATCCTAATCACTGATGCTTTCCCAAAAAATGTTGTTATGGACAAGTGTTTAATCATAACCACTAATTAAGTTACTAATTTGTTCTTGTATCCCGTTTATTTGAGCAGTCGTTTTTCGTCTATCCAGTTTTCGGTTTCGGTGGTTTTTTCTAAATTTGTTAGCAGAGAGATTTTAACCTTTCTGGCTTTGTGTAATTTCTGTTTCCAATTCTAATAAAATATCTCTAGAATTTTTTAGTTATTACTTTTTTTGTCAAAGGATGGGGTCGAACCCCAAATGCCATAGAGCAGTGCAAGTGAGACCACTGTACCACACTGCTCACTAGAATAAGATATTTCTATAGAATAAAAATGGGAGAAAGAAATTAACTGAGAATTTAATTTATTTTTGCTCTCTATTATAGTGCTTTCTACATAAAGAGGAAGACATAACTGTACATATATGTGTAAAAACTAATGTAAAATAAATAAATTTTGTTTCTCCTAACAACTGAGTTTTTATTACTTTAACAATGGTTTACTTGGTGTATAAGTTAACAATAATGTATTCAACTTATTACTTATTATGTTTCAAAATGTAAGATGTTTTGGAAATTTTTATTTGTTTCAAAATATAAGATGTTTTGACAATTTTATTATATACATTTTAATTTTATTAAATATTGTGTGATGAATAATAATTTACAGTTTTTTGTGTGATTGGTCAATGTTTATCTATTAGATATATTTTAAATGATATTTAAAAAAATAGTTTTTTAATATCCGTACTTTTATATTAAAGATTTTATATTTTAAAACGGAGAGAATAATACTTGAGAAATTTTAAAAAATGCTATTTTTCAAGTGCCACTTTACAAAAATACTACATTTTTGAAATCTTTACAAAAATACCACTTTTTCAAAATTATTTTTTCTTTATATTATTTATGTTTGGGTTAATTATGTTCTATTAGGGTTTAATTTTGAGTGTTTAGAAGGTTTTAGGTGTCAAAACATTTTTTAGGGTTTAGAATTTTAAGTTATAGGCTTTATAAATGTATAATTAGTGACATTTTTGTAAATGACACCCTTAATTGACATTATTGCAAATATGCATATAGTAATTGACATTTTTGCAATTGCCTTATAATACTTTTGTATTGTTAAGCTAAAAAGGGTGACTCTTACAAAGCTATTGAATGGTTCTATCTTTTCTAAGCATGTGTCATGCAGACAAATGCCTTCACCTAACAAATATATTAATTTATGTTGGTATATTGTCAAAGCAACATAAATTAATAAAATCATTTTTCTTTAGGAACATTAACCAATAATCTGATGTGACCGGTCCAAGAAAGGTCCAAAATTTCTAACGTCACTGATAAGATATATTGATATAACATTTACCTTGATGTTGCCAGCCTCTTTGATGGCTTCAACGAGCTTGAGATGAACGTCGATGTTACTGGTGGGGAAATGGGCAACGGAAATGGTGGAGACAACGACGTCGACTTGCTTAACGGCGGAGACAAGGCTCTCATGCTCGGAAAATGAGGCTTCGACGAGATGTGCGCCTTGTCTTTTGAAAGAGAGAAGGAGTTGGACCTTGTCGATGTTCACTCCGATCTCTGGTTGCTGCAGAACGTAAGTCTCGTGTCCCTCAGCCAAACACTCCCTTACAATCCTCCTCCCCAACAACCCCGTACCGCCAACCACTAGAACGCGCGTTTTCTCGCCGCAATTATTCTCTCCCATCTCTCTAAGATATATGTGTGTGTGTGTGGTTATTCGAAGTTATACCAAAAGAGAGAAAAAAAGAGATATGTGCGGTTAGTTTCGTAGTGGACCCGATATAATTGTGTTTGCCACAATAGCTTGTAGCATTTGTACATATGTGTATAAAATTATTATAGAAACGTGACTTTGTCTAATAATATATGTATACTTTTGGTTACCCAAAAACTTTAAGGGTAGGCCAATTTTCTCACTGGACCGAGAATCAGAGACAGGTTGATTTAGGCTGTGAGTGGGAGCATGGGACAGAAGCAAAAGCAGATAATTAGCAGAGCAGAGGAACAACATTATTTATTATCATTCACAGAATTGTCAAATCAACAGCCATAAATAAATAAAAAATTCTCACGAACCACTTGCAAGACAAATTATGAAGATAACATTATCCCACTTGCAGATTTTCATCCACTTGTCTTGGAGAGTAATCGGCCCATTTGTGTTTGCAGATCTGCTTTTATTTTTTTTTTTTAAATTATCACAAAAATTTGCTTATAAAATGACAGTTTTTTTCATACATACTTCAAACCAAATTTGCATAGAGTCGAGAGCACTTCTTTTTTTTTTGGCATAGTCGAGCATTTGAGAAATTTTCAGTTGAATACAAAAACCTCTTCTCTAAAGGTATGATCTTTAACTTTTTTTTTTCCCCTTCTTGTTCTGAGTTTGACAAAAAAAACACAAATTTTATTTTGTTTGCTCGTAAATAATTTACGTATTTTGCATTGCCTAACTTTTAGTAAATGGTTAGTGGCATGAGATTGTTTTATTTTAAAAGATTAGTATATTCAATTAGCATATTTATAAATTTTATATTTTTAAATA